GAGAGAGAGAGAAGAAGAAGAAGAAGAAGAAGAAGAAGAAGAAGAAGAAGATTCAAGCTACAAATGTACAACCTAAATGACAACAAACAAGTAACAAATAGCAACCTCATCAATTCATGACACCAAGCAAACCATGAACACAGAAAACATAATACTAAAAAAGCGCAAATATATACAAGAAACCAACACAGATCAGACAACCCATTTGAACCCACACTAGAGAAGCCCCATTTTGTATTGATAAAAATGGAGACAACGGAAACTCACCGTCTTTAAAATGCTACTGTGAGAAAGTTCAAGCCTTTTCTTACAAAATTTCCTTCTGTTTGAAGACTCTGTATAAGTGTGTGTGTGTGTGTGTGTGTGTTTCGATGAAAACTATGCTGGTTGGTTTCAAGACTCTTGGGGGAAGCTTTAAAAGTGAGCCTGCTGTGCTGTGTATACTAAACAGCTATTTGTGCTGTGACATTTAAAGGCCGTCGGATTTATATTACTTTAATCCAATGGTTCCAATTTTATTTACTATTCATCTCTTTTGCTCTTTTTTTTTTATTTTTTTCAATTTGTATGCACAAACAAATAAAAAACCTACAACATGTCAAGCAATGAGTCCGTAGACAAAGGTATTTATTTTTTTCGTTTTTATTTTTTTACAATTTTTTTTATTTTTAATTTTCTTTGTATTTAATGTTGAATGGAAACTGTTAATATTTTCTTTATGTTCCAAAAACAGGGATTAATAGATATGGCGTGTATGAAATTGTCTGAATCTCTTTTTTTTTAAAAAAAAAAAAATCTTATTCATTTTTCTAGAAATTAACGTCATAATTTTATTTTTATTTTTTCCTAAAATTTGTAGCATAGCAGTATCTTTAGATAAAAAGGAATTCTTGAATATCAATTTTTATTTTTATTTTTGCCCATTAGATCTTTTAATATCAAATGGTAGATCATATTGCACGCAAAGCACTATTTTTAGATCAAAAGGATTCTTGAATTTTGATGAGTTAATAAAAAAGTGAAAAATCAATTAAAAGAGTTGGAAACATTCTTTCTCCTCTTGTATTTTAATTGAATACAAATCTCTCTCCATTTCATAAAATTCGAACCACTTAATTAAATTAATTTGATCCAAGGGCCTTTAAAAAGGCACAACAGACTGTGCGGTGCAAGTATGCACAGTTGGGACCCGGATCCGCCTGGGGAGAGTGTGAGTACTGGTGAGCTACTCTTTTGGTAGATGCAAAAGTCGGTAAATGACAGTTTTACCCCTATTTTTGGGCTGTTTGGTGAACTTGGGCTGGCCCAATGTTTCTAAAGTTATATTTGTTCACTTGTCAAGGATTAAATATTCTTTCTATATATAATTTCAGAATGCGCTGAGCCTACGTGGCTGCTTCTGGTACTTCATAATCCTATTTGGTGAAAAATCATGCTTCGTAATTAGGTTTGGACAAATAATATTGATATATTAATAAATAATAATTTAGGTTTGGACATTCCATAAATATTATTTAGCTAACTTAGGTATTTTAATATCAATTGTACTAATATAACCCTTTAATTCTTTGTATTTTACATAGTGAGACACTAAGTGACTAATATATCTTTGACTTTTGATTTGTTTCCTTCAATTAGATATTGAATTATAAATGTACTTTAAAAGTTGATAACGTTTGTATTTCTTAGCGGTTTTACATATATAATATATCAAATTAATCAAAAGCATCTTTTGATGATCTTCGATTTGACATCCATATTGTATATATATAATAAATAAATTATATTTATCTTTATAATAATAAAAAAATAATAATATTTATGAAAATTCATTAGAAAAATAAAATTATTTCTCAATTGATATATTTATGTTTACTATAGTTATTTGTTGTAAGTTAAAAAAATTATTACAGTATAACACATGTAAGTCGCACAAATAAAAAGTTTCATACTAACTATATAATAATATATATATTTTTATAAAAGGTATTTAGATTTTCAACTATTTTTATCATGAATTTTATATTTTAAGAAAAAAAATTAGCACACACCCGTGTAATACACGGGCGTTGTACTAGTATATATTATAATTCAGTTAGCTTTCAATCATTTAAAATTATTACAGAATACGGAAGCGGAATATATATATATATATAGAGAGAGAGAGAGAGAGAGAGTTAGGATCCAATGAGAATGATAGATAGGAAAAGAAATAAGAATAAATTTAGATCATTAGATCCAGCACATCAATGGTCATGATCAAGTCAAAACTTGGTCAATCATTAATGGCAAAATTGTAATATAATATACACATTGTGATCAAATGTACATATTTGACCACTAATCAAAGGTAGATTTGTCATTACATTCTCACACCCAAACATGGGTCCACACCCAACCCGTCACCTTCCCCACCCAACTCTCCTCCTTCCTTATCTCTCTCACACAAAAACACACACCTTACGTATATTTACACACACAGCAAGCATACACACAACTGCACCACCCCAACCTCGCCCTCTCCAACCACCAGTCCCGTCGTCTTGCCGCCATCCCCACCACCCCGCCGTCGTCCCCATCTCCCGCCATAGATCCACCGTCTCCACTCTCTTAGCCGCCGGCGAGATAGATCCACCGTCCCTGTCAATGTCACAACCATATCCGCCGGCGTCGAGCATCATGACCAGAGATCCGCCACCTGCTGCCACCGGGCCTTCGCCGGTGGACGAGCTCGCCGCCTATTACGATACCAATGCTCGTACTTGGCCTCCGGCAGGGACCACGCCAACCTTTTATTGGGAGCTGCTGCCTCCGGTTGTGTGGTTGTTGACGACGGGCGGCGGGTGGCCGGAAGCGGCGGTTGAATGTGATATTTGAAGTTACATAATGCCTATATTCTTTTTTTTCTGATTTTGTTTGATTAGGGCTTATTTGTGAGAATTAGACATTTAATAGGGTTGAGGGGGGCTGCTGTGACCCACTAACAGCAGCCCCAGCTGTTAAATTACAGCCTTTGGATCAGATAAAACTAAAATTAGATCTAATGGCTATAAATAAATGATAAAATAAAATTTTCTTATCGGTTCAAACCTAATTAACAGCCTTCTAAAATTTTCAATCACTGCAGTCCACTCTATATGAATTTCTGAAGAAAAAAAAATCGTCCTCGTTTTTCCTTATCACTGGCAACATCCGTACGTTCCGGTGAGCTGCAGTCATCCCCGAAGCTCTGTCCAGCGATAACTCCGGCGACGAAGGAGAAGACCGACGACCCCTAACCCGGCCGGCGACCTCCGTTCCGTTTCGACATCCCATTTTCTGTCAATCGACGACGCTCACTCCCACCGGCGACGAGGAGAAGAAGGCGAGCGGCGACTGTGACTAACTGACAGAGAGCGGCGGCGACAGGACGTTCGCCGGCTGAACTTCGTCCAACAAGCAGCGTCGACGGAGAGCTGAACTCCGTCCGATTTGTTCCGGTGACTGGTAACCACCTTAACCTCCGAAGTGAGTGATTGGGATACCGATTGTTTATTCGAGTGCCCGATTGAATTATTTGTATTATCGTTTCTCGATTCTGAGTTATCAAAATTGTGGTTCGGTTTACCGATTATGTGTTTCGAGTGTCGTATATGTGTTCTGGCTTATGAATGTTCGAATAGCTGAACAGGGATTTGTAATTTGAAGCCATGTTGAATTCTCAATTCTGTAACCTAATATGAATTCTCAATTTGAAGTCATGAGTTTGGAGATTTGAGGTGAAATTATTATTAAGGCCTCTGTATGTTGTCGAATTTGTGAGAATCATAAGACGAATGTGTAGTCTGTTGTATGCTATGTTTCTGTAGGTTTACATTGAAATTTTTTAACATAATCAAATATTGAGTTAGCAAGTCTCATAGAAATTGTTGTGCTGAATATGAAAATGTTTAAGGTTCCCATCATGAGTTGCTAAATTCCTAATGATACTTTCGTGCAGAGCATTAGGATTTAGGAATATTATCAATTCTAAGAAATATTATCACTCATAAATTCTTAAAGTGCACTTCTCTTTGTATTCCAGTTGCTAAATTGTTTCCCTTTGCATATTTTTCTTGGAGGATTTGCTCTGCGTGAGGAGAAAGCATGGAGGAGCAACATGATGTTCCAAAAGGATGAGGTATATAATAACATAGTTTTCGTTTGTCGTAAGGAGGGTAAAAGAGCTGCAGATAAAAGAAGGGTGAGAGTCGTCCATCGATGGGAAGAAAGAACATCATGCAAGGCTAAGTTAAATGTAGTTTTGGAGAGGTTGATTGGAAAGTACAAGATTAAAGAGTTCGTTGCACAACATAATCACAAACTTGAGCCTCCAAAAATGAGTCATATTGAGATCCCATAGGCAAGTGAGTCGAGCCGCCGCTGAAGTGCTGGGGCCTGATT